GAGCCTTCTGTTTACAGTCTTCCTTGAGGGAAAGGAAACAGAGCAACAGTTAGCCTTCGGCCTGTGCAAGTATCGGTTGCGCAGCAGTGAGTAGAAGTAACGCTTACATTCAAATGAGCGCTGAGATTGCGACTGCAAATCTATCCGGCGCGGTTTTACGTATACTCACTAAATTTCAACTAAAACATTCTGAATCAATCTAAGGGAATAACTGATATTCGGACTGTAGTACCCCTATACCAACTGTAAACGTGCTTTTTAATCTGTATTAGATTTCAGATTTGTTAATAATAATGATTTACTTTATTCCAAAAACAGTACTTGTGATACAGAATGGAATTTTCAGCATTAATCACATTATTGCATCTAATTTCCTCAAATTATAAATAAAATTAATCACACAGAAAATTTTCCACATTTACAATAGAGGTAGTGTCAAAAACATGCAGCATATAAAATGGAAATAGCAATAATAATGATAACAGCTAGGGTAGTAATAATAAGAATACAAGTGAAAATTGCCGTTGGCTTGTGTCACGCAGTATTGGCAATGTGGTATAGAAATCCTAACATGTTTAAAAATATTGAATATAATGTTCTTTCTACATGATATGGTGAAGGAAAAAACATAGATTACAGCCGTCATGGAGATAAGTTGGTGTTTGCAATTATGAGAGTAAAACAGAAAAGTAACAGGACCATAAATATAATAGAAGTAATAAAAGTAAAACTTGAAGGTATGTAAGGATGGATGGAGGAAATTGTTTATTTACTAGATGAAAGAAGGTTAGTTAATTCTTGCCTGACACTATTTTCATCACATAAAATACGTGCCAAGTATGGTATCATAGAATTCTTATACTTAGACGTGCGAGCATACAGTTTTCTGAAGTTACTCCTTGTTCTACCTGAGGAGATGCAAGGTGAAAGCTGAGGGTAAAGTGGATGCTCCAAGTTAGACAAAATCCCTTTAGCAAATTTATTGCACGAAGTCAAATGCCTATCGACAACGACGTTAACTATGTGGTCCACTGGGACACCACTCACTCTACTGACAGTCTTCAGTATTCTACGAATTGTGACATAGTCTTTTTTAAGCAAACCAGGAAAGAATAAGGGTGAGCAATAAAGAAGAATAGGTAGGATGCAAGAGTTTACGAACTGTAGGATGAGGGGTTGAGTTATACCCGAGTGTCTTAACTTCTTAATGTAAAATGTCAGGTGGAATATTTTACTGGAGATTGCTAAGACATGGGAAGACCAGGAGAGATCAGAAGAGAGAATGAGTCCAAGATACTTAATTTCTGATTTGATTCCAATATCATTGTCGTCAATTTTACAAGTGTCATGAGAATCGATGACTTCTTTTAACTGTCGTTTACATCTTAAGCTGAAATCAACAGTTTGACACTTAGAAGGATTCAGTTTAAGACCGTTAGACTCAGACCATTTGCTGACTTCCGATAGAAAGCTATTTATTTTAGTACAATCTAGCTGGGAGTTAACAGCCATTGAAACCGTTAAATCATCAGCATACTTCACAAAGTTTATTTCATCAGAGTGAGGCAAGTCGTGCGAGAAGAAAGAAAAAAGAAAAGGAGAAAGAACAGCACCTTGAGGGACACCAGCTTCAGTAGGCAATGAAGTGGAGGACTTCCCTTTATATACGGTGTACTGCTTTCTATCTGAGAAATAGGCATATAACCAGTTAACAGCCCAACATTCTGTTTGACTAGCAGCAAGTTTATTTAATAAGATGTCCCTAGGGACCGAGTCGAATGCAGATGTATAGTCTAGGAAGGCGCAACGAACAAATTTAGCTCCCTTGTCTAGACTGGAAGCAATGTTATGATATAAGACGGCAGCTGCATCTAAAGTGCTTCTACTGTGCTTATAGGCAAATACTTTAGGGTCATTAAAGGATTTAAGCGAAGGTTCAAGACTAAGTAAAATTAATTTCTCCATAGTTTTCAAAAAAGGAGACGTAATAGCAATGGGTCTAAATTTGAGGATAGAAGGCTTGGAGCTTATGTTGACCCTTTTCTAGTAGATTTCAGTGGTTGTCCAAAACCTTCTTGAACGAATCAGTTGAGGTTGCAGACAACACTTCTTCTGGGAGTCGGTTCCAAGAGTTTATGACTCCATGTGAGGACCAGTACTCAACAGCAATATGATTTCTCCTATGTCCTCTAAGGTGTTCCGACCTGGTGGGAAAGAAAAGAGAGAATAGGTCAGGTCCCTAGTCATAATTTGAAATTTTAAGCATTGTGATTAAATCTCCTCTCTGCTACGGTATGACAGTGAGAAGAGATTTAAACTGTCTAGTCTCTCCTCGTATGATGAGTTAGCTATTTTTTCTTTTTGATTACAGCTTGATTCCACACTGTATTTTTGGTACAAGTATGGAATTTTCAGCATAGATATCGGTAGCCCAAATATCGCAGGCCGACCATAGATGTCAGGTGTGGGTCGGCAGGGGATCGAACCCCGGACCATGTACATGGTCGGCGAGAGTCCTAACCACTGTGTCACCGACGCTATGCCGTGAACCATACGTGCTGCCTTCCTTTGAACACTTTCTAGAATGTGTGAGCCCCCTTTTAGACAAGGACTGAAGGCCTGGGTGCAGTTTTCCAGTCTTGACCTCACCATAGATGTGCACAAGAAGGTGAACATATGTCTGGTGATTCTAGTAAAGGCTCTGAGAATTGCCCATAAGGACCTGAAACTATATGCAGCCACCGCGCGACAGTGTGCTGTAGTTTTTAAGTCGTGGCTAACTATGACACCTAAGTCCAAGTGAGTCTGAAATGATGGGAGTTATATTCCCTCTAGTTCATAGGAGCTTGTGCGTGCTTGTCCAATGCGCATGGTTGCACATTTCGCCACATTGATCGGGAGCATCCATTCTATGGGCCGCTCTGACAATTTGTTGAGGTCCTCTTGCAACGTGAGTGTATGAAGGTTGGCCTTCAGCTCTCTCCAAATTTTTAAGTCATCCGCGTATAGGACCATAGGGGAGTCGGCGAGCAGAGGTAACTCATTGATATACAGAATAAATAAAAGAGGTCCGAGTACCGTGCCTTGCGGCACTCCGCTACGTACTGCTGTCCAAGAGGAGAGTTTCACATTTATCCTAACCCCCTACCTCCTATCTATGAGGAATTCCCTTCGTATGTTTGGCATGCGATTCACCCCTGCAAAATGTGAGATGCTGCTACAGGACTGGACTACGTCAACTCCTAGCTTAGTGATAAGGAGTGAAGTGATAGAACATGTTGACCACTTCACCTATTTGGGAAGTTGTATCAGCACCAACGGACCGATTGGCGACGAAATCTCAGCACAGATCCAAAAAGCTCGAGCTGCTTTCGCTGATTTACACCATCTCTGGCGTAGGCGTGACATCCGGCTATCAACTGCTAAGCAGTTCGCTACGTCCTTCTCTATGGCTCTGAAACATGGCCAACACGAGTGGAAGACATGAAAAGGTTGACTGCTTTCGATCATAGATGTCTGCGATCTCTGTCTCACGTTAGGTGGTTTAATAAGGTAAGTAACGTTGACGTTAGGCGCAGAGTGTTGGGCAAACAGGGAAAATCAATCGACGAGGCTATAAAGTTACATAGATTGAGATGGTTAGGTCACGTGCTGCGCATGCCTAACCATCGCCTCCCCCCACGGGCATTACTAGCTGATATAGGTGCAGGTTGGAAGAGAGCCAGTGGTGGCCAAACAAAAACATGGCCTCATCAATCCATGAAATCCTTGACAGTTAAACTGAGTCAGGTAGGGAGGGAGATGCAGACTCCCGGGTTGGGGCCCCCTGGACTCTAGGAATCAATGGCTGGAGACAACAGGTGATGACATGGCTCAAAATCGTTGTCAATGGCGCAGATGTATTCAGTCTCTGTAATCTTTCATATTCCTTTCTACCATTAACCATTCCGTTTCACTCTTATACCTGTCAAACTCTATTGATTCTCTTCACTCATCTTCTTGTCTACCTTTGCGTGCTATTTGGAACGTGGCAACTCGAAGTGCTGCACTTCGGTGCCAAGTTCTATGTTGAATCCAGACAGACAGACAGATGTGTATCTGCGGTAGATTCTCACCAAGTTTTACAATCATATAATAAAATACCTGCCATAGACTTCTGAAAAAATGTAGATCGATAGAATCAAACACAATCAAGTAGAATGATGATGATAATAATAATAATAAATTGCGAAACTTGATTACATCTGATCCTATTTATCCACTGTTTCAAATGTCTATGACTAATATTTTATGTAATTGTAAAGCCTGGTGAGAATTTAGCGGAAATACACACCTAACTGCTTGAATCATGTTCTATAATCATGATTATAAAGAAAATTACATTAGTTTCGAAATTCGCTCAATGAGATCATAAGGTTAATTGTAATTTAAAAATGAATCAGTCCAACCCATATCATAGTCGCATAATCTGCTTTCAAACGGAAAACTACTAGCAGTATCAGTTGATATGCAGCATTGAAGAATATGCTTAGCAAGGCTCAGTACAACTCAACACAAGTAAATTTTCTAGAGCTATTTTTCCCAGCTTATTGCAAAACATTTGGGGATGCATCAAAATCAGCATTTCCCCAAAGGATCTCCAAGATCTTATATATGCCCCGAGATTTCTTCAGCGGTCGCGGAACTGACTATTAGGGGACGCCTACCACAAAAAACATCACTTCAAACAGTAGATGAATGAATCAACACCGGATGACGGACCAGAAGTCAAAATGACTATGTACAGGAAAACTTACAAATAACCACACACATTCCCGGCTACACAGAATACAACTTGTTGTGTACACACTGCATTGAAACCAATAACTGCATAGATTGAACACTGACTGAACTCTCCTTCAAGGAAGATTGTAAACATGGGATTCACTCGCTTAATGTCGTTGACTATGGCCACACAGTATCATGCTTTCCTATCGAGCAGTCTACAATAGTAAATCAAAATGTCACTACAAATATCACAGCCATCTGGTTCGACAACAGTATCTCATCAAAAATCCGCTAGTAATGTTTCTGATACAGATGATATCGATACGAAGCAAGACGGGGATGGGAACTGCACATGGAAGGAGACATTAACTGATAGTCGAACAGATACTCCCTTGTCAAAACCATTCACAACTGACATTTGTGCATGTGATGATGAAAACTCTGGGTGACAACGAAAAGCAGATAACACTTCTGCAAACGGTGAAATAATTGATGAGAATATGGCGTCGGCAAGTGAACATACACCCCGTAGTCCGTTCTTCGCTTCTAGGATGCAGAACAATCATTTACAGCCAATCTTTTTCGATTCTATTCCATTGGAATCCACTACTATCACCATCCGCCAAAAACGTGGTAGCCTACATGAACGCTGAAAGCAACGATGTGGACATATCGGTCCGTCAGATCACTACCGCTTAATAATGGTATTTTGAACAAATGACTGTCAAGAAGGACGGTTCGTGAGTCTACTCCAGTAGCATTAACTTCTTTGCCATCTAAATCTACTCGTCTGTCTGTTTGAAGATTGTGGTTACTAGCGTCAGGTGAATTTCCAACCAGGCTTCAATCTTTTCTCTCTGCATGCGATTTTCGAGTAATTCAGTTACTTTCCATCGTGTTCTCAACAGTCACAGTTCCTATGGCTTGAGTATTATTCAATAACATAGGACTACAACAGACTGAAGAAGGCTTCTCTGGAGCTTGGCATTCAGTTTCAGCCGCAACATAAGCCTACAGAGATCGGGTCACATCTGCAGATGTGAACTACTGCATTACTTCATGCAGAAATGCAGTAGTTCACATCTTCACAATTCAGAAGATACGCCACATTCTCATCAATTATTTCACCGTTTGCAGAAGTGTTATCTGCTTTTCGTTGTCACCCAGAGTTTTCATCATCACATGCACAAATGTCAGTTGTGAATGGTTATGACAAAGGAATATCTGTCAGTTGATGTCTCCTTCCATGTGCAGTTCCCACTGCCGTCTTGCTTTGTGTCAATATTATCTGCATCAGAAACATTACTAGCGGATTTTTGATGAGATACTGTTGTCGAACCAGATGGCTGTGATATTTGTAGTGACATTTTGATTTACTATTGTAGACTGCTCGATAGGAGAGCATGACACTGTGTGGCCATAGCCAACGACCTTAAGCGAATGAGCCTTCTGTTTACAGTCTTCCTTGAGGGAAAGGAAACAGAGCAACAGTTAGCCTTCGGCCTGTGCAAGTATCGGTTGCGCAGCAGTGAGTAGAAGTAACGCTTACATTCAAATGAGCGCTGAGATTGCGACTGCAAATCTATCCGGCGCGGTTTTACGTATACTCACTAAATTTCAACTAAAACATTCTGAATCAATCTAAGGGAATAACTGATATTCGGACTGTAGTACCCCTATACCAACTGTAAACGTGCTTTTTAATCTGTATTAGATTTCAGATTTGTTAGTTGAGGATAGAAGGCTTGGAGCTTATGTTGACCCTTTTCTAGTAGATTTCAGTGGTTGTCCAAAACCTTCTTGAACGAATCAGTTGAGGTTGCAGACACCACTTCTTCTGGGAGTCGGTTCCAAGAGTTTATGACTCCATGTGAGGACCAGTACTCAACAGCAATATGATTTCTCCTATGTCCTCTAAGGTGTTCCGACCTGGTGGGAAAGAAAAGAGAGAATAGGTCAGGTCCCTAGTCATAATTTGAAATTTTAAGCATTGTGATTAAATCTCCTCTCTGCTACGGTATGACAGTGAGAAGAGATTTAAACTGTCTAGTCTCTCCTCGTATGATGAGTTAGCTATTTTTTCTTTTTGATTACAGCTTGATTCCACACTGTATTTTTGGTACAAGTATGGAATTTTCAGCATAGATATCGGTAGCCCAAATATCGCAGGCCGACCATAGATGTCAGGTGTGGGTCGGCAGGGGATCGAACCCCGGACCATGTACATGGTCGGCGAGAGTCCTAACCACTGTGTCACCGACGCTATGCCGTGAACCATACGTGCTGCCTTCCTTTGAACACTTTCTAGAATGTGTGAGCCCCCTTTTAGACAAGGACTGAAGGCCTGGGTGCAGTTTTCCAGTCTTGACCTCACCATAGATGTGCACAAGAAGGTGAACATATGTCTGGTGATTCTAGTAAAGGCTCTGAGAATTGCCCATAAGGACCTGAAACTATATGCAGCCACCGCGCGACAGTGTGCTGTAGTTTTTAAGTCGTGGCTAACTATGACACCTAAGTCCAAGTGAGTCTGAAATGATGGGAGTTATATTCCCTCTAGTTCATAGGAGCTTGTGCGTGCTTGTCCAATGCGCATGGTTGCACATTTCGCCACATTGATCGGGAGCATCCATTCTATGGGCCGCTCTGACAATTTGTTGAGGTCCTCTTGCAACGTGAGTGTATGAAGGTTGGCCTTCAGCTCTCTCCAAATTTTTAAGTCATCCGCGTATAGGACCATAGGGGAGTCGGCGAGCAGAGGTAACTCATTGATATACAGAATAAATAAAAGAGGTCCGAGTACCGTGCCTTGCGGCACTCCGCTACGTACTGCTGTCCAAGAGGAGAGTTTCACATTTATCCTAACCCCCTACCTCCTATCTATGAGGAATTCCCTGAGCTGGTTTAGTAATCTTCCTTTGATACCAGGACTTTCCAACTTAATGAGTAGCATTTTGTAATGCACTTTTCGAAGTCTTTTTTTAAGTCTATATATATGACGTGAACGGCACTTCTGTTTTCCCTTGAAATGACCAAGCTTTCTCTTGCAGTGAGGAGATTTGACAGGCATGAGGGAATTCTTCGGAACCCATGCTGTGCTCTGGATAAGAAACTGTTGATTTCCAGATACGCCATGATACCTTTTTTGATGAATCTCTCCATTGTCTAGATCAAAGTGCTGGTAGGACTAATAGGCCTGTAGTTTGGGGGCCTTTGTCTTGATCCCCCTTTGTGGATGAGGGTTACTATTGCTCCTTTCCGGCCAGCGGTAACCCTTCATTTAGGGAAGATAGCTTTAAGATCACGCTTAAGCATTTCTTGAGGTAGATGAATACGCCACATCCTTAGACGTTTGGTCGGTCCACCCCATGCGATTCCAAGTTTGGCAGGTCAACTTCGTTGTCAGTGACATCAGGTGTGAGCCAAGTTTCTGCGATAATAACTATATCCGGGTACCCGGAGTGTCAATGCAGTTGAAGATTGAACGATCAATTCATGGTTGTTTGCTCAAAACCAACTTCCCCAATTTTCGCGGAGGCATCAATACGACAGTCATCGTCTCACCGGTCCCTGTTCAGAAAGAAGTCAGCAGGAAACCGTCAGAAGTAATCTTGTAAATTATTATTGTAAAATTTGTTCACAGACCTTAGTTTTAACAGAATTTATATGCTGGTGTAACAATAAAGAATTCTCGAGTAGTCAATCGGTGTTTTGGTTTTGCGTCCGTTAGTACTAACCGTTTCTGAGAAACTTCAAGGAACAGCGTGAGTCCCAGCGTAGCAAGAGCTGGGCATTGACGGTTTACGATACGTGGCTGACAGTTCTGACGGTAGAAACAGATTCTGATGGATTCAGACAGTTGGTGACAGTATGGATAGTCAACGTTCAACTTCCTTGTTGCCGGTCAAGTCGTCTATGAACAAGCAATATCTGGAACGTTTTTGGAATTGGTTCAAGTTCAACAATGCCTGGGTCAAAGAAGGGACAGAGCGTCTTGGATGCAAACAGGAAAGTAAGTCATGGTGACTTGTCTGTTACTTGTAACGGTGTGTCTGATGTTAAGTATGACATGGTCGATGTTACTGTTTCGCCGTCCAGAGATAATAGGAACATCAAACTCCCTAAATTTGAACCACGGTGTTTCGATGGAAACCCGGCTGATTATTTACAATTTGTAAAGGAGTTTGAGATCATGCTGAGTGGTATTTTATTGAATGATGAATTGAAGTTAATGTACTTAATGAGGTATTGCACTGGAGTTTCTGCAAGAGCTATACAGTGCTGTAAGCTCATGCCCCCTAAGGAGGGATACGCTGAGGCTATGAGCATATTACGTCAAAGGTTTGGAAGACCGTCAATGATTGTAAGGAACGTATACGAAGCTGTCAAAGGTAACGGCAGTCAACTACAAGGTGACTCCAAGGCACCAACTGAGTTTTTCGATAATCTTATGACTTATAAGAATACCTTGATTTATATGAATTACATGAGTGACCTCAACTCGAGTTTTATACTAGAAGTAATAGCAAGACGTCTACCTACTCGACTGCAAAGGAAGTGGGTGAAAATAAGCTCCCGTATGGAGGATGAGGGTATCGAGCCAAAATTTGATGATATCCTGAAACTAGTGAAAGATAGTGTCAATCAATCTATGAGCAAGTTTGCCAGTGTATTGCATCTCACCCCTAGAATAAAGCAGTCTGAGGGTAAAACGCAATCATTGATGACGAATAGGCCTCAGAGAGGTGGATATCGAGAAGGCTCCATGATGTCTAGTAATGCATAAAGACCTAGTGAGTGTAACAGGTTTCGTAGTACATCCTCAACAGATAAGTTACAAGATGCAAGACAAACACGGTTGTGTTTTATACGTTTGCAAGAGGTGCATACAAAGGTGAGCTGTGAACCAGTGAGCAAGTTCAGTGATAAGCTAAATGTAAACTCCAGGCCTGACTCCGAATTGTGTGACGATAACGGTGTGGTGAGGAATCCTGTAGTTGCAACCGGTAAGCCATTGTTGAATAGAGTGTCACAGAATAATAAATAAATAATAAATAAATAAATAAATTTATTCTCATGATACAGTACATGAGGGACGCCAGTTTACAGGCATCATCAAATTGTTACAGAAATAGGATCATATTATTCAGTCACAATTTACAGTCGATAGCAAAATATGTTTAACATGTACACTGGAGATTATACATACACTTGATAAATGTTAATCCCAATAGTATAAAACATCCTTTTCACTTATGTACAATCATTTCTGTGCATAGTTGGAAAAATCCGCTAGATTGTCAGTGAGTGCAACACATCAGGAAATACAGAAGTATTGTCTTCGCATTAACAAAAAAACCAGGTCTTTGGTGGATGGGTTATAAGTGCCTGGGAAAAAAATAAAGCTTGAAGTCAATTTTCGTACATACTTTGTTGTGTGCAGAATCCT